CCGACTCAGTCCACTTGTCAGTGACTTCATGGATTTCACTATTAACGGAAAAACACAAAAAATCATTGCGTTGTAATCTCTTTGTAATACGTTACAGTCTATTGTGGAACAGGTCACCAATTGCTATTCTTATCTGTGACACAATCGAGAAACCATTCATGCTGTTGTTAGACTCTCAACAGATTTATCGACTATTCCCGGAACTCACACCATGTCCACAGGCACGCTTTTATGGTCCATCAAATATTTAGATAAACGTCAGATAAGAATTATAAACTATGGACATACTGTGTCCACAATACCACCCATACATTTATCACTAAATGATAGACAAATCCCCCTGCTCCTATTAACAGTAAAAGGTTACGCCTTTGAGGTGTTACCCGTGACTGTCCTCTAAATTTAAATTCCAGTCATTATTTTCATATCTTTAAAGCAGTTTCAGTTTTTATTTCTAGTAGATAGACAAATTGAAAAGCCTGTAATAGCTGATCAACTGCTGTCAATTACAAGGAACTCAACCTCCGTGTATCATTGTGAGTTACTTCTTGATTAAGTATTAACAGTTTGAAAATTTTTTAATCCCGATTGATTGATGAGACGACTAATCAGTGACACTGAGGTTGCTATTATACGCTTGCTACTTCTGTGGTTTATGTTCCCAAAACTATGCTGAGGAGGCTATTCTTTCGAGACACCCGCAACATTCTTACTCAGGCGCTTACAGTATGACTTAGAAGTTAGCACTCAATAATGATGATAATAATAATAATAATAATAATAAACAGTTAGACAGTGATAACTTTTATTCTTCAATGTTTTATTTTTACAAACTCTACTCTTTCGATTTCAACGTACATAAATCAAGCTTCTTACTTCGAATTCTCTTCTATCCACCTGACATTGCACAACTCTTCCCTCTTTTTTGCTGTACTCCTTTATCTGTGTGTTATATTCTTATATTCCCATAATTTACTTTAATTTAAGTGATCAGTATGAATTTTATCTTAACTTACTACTGTATTGACTACTTCAACATAACAGGTTAAGTAGTGCTTTAGTTATATATATACACTTGCCACACTGCTGCATTTTTCTCTCTCTCTCTCTCTCTCTCTCCTTTTCAGAACCCTATTCACGGTGGGAAATCCTTGGCGACTCTAGGGAACATGCATCCTATGAACATGACTGTCTGGATCACAGCTCGTATCAAGCGCGTTCCCTTTGACCTTTCGGATCAAATTCACTATTGGTCTCGGCAAATCGCCAAAAGAACCTATTGTGCACCTTACTTATTTGTACTGTACCATTGAAAAGGCGGCTGTATTTTACTGTTTATGTCAGTGACATGGTGTAAATATGTTATCAGAAACTGACTCTTATACTTAATTTAACTGCTATAACTTCACAGTAATTGTCCAATATCCAATATCCAATATCTTTTTCACGAGCTAGTGTAAACCAATTTGATTTCTTCGCTCTCGATTCTTGTTCTTTCGGTACGGTTCCAGGTGTTCGGTAATGTCCAATGGATGGAGGTCTAGCCACTCGACTGTCTAATTCTAGTCATGAACATACTCCTTCATCTGTTGTTTATACACATGTATTCCCATAGTTTACTGTATAGACTACTTCAACATGACAGGTTAAGTAGTGCTTTGGTTATATACACTCGCCACACTGCTGCCTTTTTCTCTTTCTCTCCGTCCAATAATGAACCACGATATTACTTACAGACTGAGAAACAACGCATATACACTATTAACGGAAAAACACAAAAAATCATTGCGTTGTAATCTCTTTGTAATACGTTACAGTCTATTGTGGAACAGGTCACCAATTGCTATTCTTATCTGTGACACAATCGAGAAACCATTCATGCTGTTGTTAGACTCTCAACAGATTTATCGACTATTCCCGGAACTCACACCATGTCCACAGGCACGCTTTTATGGTCCATCAAATATTTAGATAAACCTCAGATAAGAATTATAAACTATGGACATACTGTGTCCACAATACCACCCATACATGTATCACTAAATGATAGACAATCTCCCCTGCTCCTATTAACAGTAAAAGGTTACGCCTTTGAGGTGTTACCCTTGACTGTTAAATTTAAATTCCAGTCATTATTTTCATATCTTTAAAGCAGTTTCAGTTTTTATTTCTAGTAGATAGACAAATTGAAAAGCCTGTAATAGCTGATCAACTGCTGTCAATTACAAGGAACTCAAACTCCGTGTATCATTGTGAGTTACTTCTTGTTTAAGTATTAACAGTTGAAAAATTTTTTATTTCCCCCAATTGAAATGATGAGACGACTAATCAGTGACACTGAGGTTGCTATTATACGCTTGCTAC